TACCCTTTGCCTTCTAATTGGTGAATTTAGAGCATTGACATTCAAAGTGATTATTGATATAGTTGGAGTAATATCCACCTTATTTGTGACTGTTTTCTATTTGTTGCACTTGTTCTTGATTCCTATTTTTGTCTTCCACTCCTTTTCTATCTTTTGTGGTTTTAATTGAGCATTTTATGTCCTTCCATTTTCTCTCCTTTCTTAGAATATTGGTTATACTCCTTTTTCAATTTTCTTTAGTGGTTGCCCTAGACTTTGCAACATTTACAACTAATCCAAGTCGATTTTCAAATAACACTATACCACTTCACAGGTAGTGTGAGTACTTTATAATAACAAAAAATTCGTAATCCTTCCCTCCCGTCCCTTATATAACTGCCGTCATTCATTTTTATCTACCTATAATCATACCTAAACATTTATGTAGAGATATAGATACATGATATACATAAGTATACATTATTGAATACATCATTGGTATTATTACTTTGAACAAATTAGTATCTGTTAGATCAACTAAGAATAAGAAAAGTAAAAGCTTTTACTTTATCTTCACTCAGTCCTCTGATGCTCGTCTTTTCTTTGTATAGGTCTGAGTTGCTAACCTACATCATTTTCTTCTTTCCAAAGAATTTCTTTTAACATTTCTTGCAAGGCAGTTCTACTGGCAACAAATTCCCTCAATATTTGTTTGCCTGAAAGAATCTTTATTCTATTCTTTTTTCAGTCTTTGTTCTCTTTGCTTTTCAGTTTTGGAGGATTCTGGTGAAAAATCCTCAAGTTCAGAGATTTTTTTTCCTTCAGTCTTGTGCAGACTACAGCTGAGGAAAGAATCTCTGAGTTTTTGATCTCTAGCATTTCTTTCTGGTTCTTTCTTAGGATTTCCATCGCTCTGCTTACATTGCCCATCTATTCTTGCCTTACCCATTTTATCCATTGCGTACCTCGCATATTAATCATGGTTGTTTTAAATTCTCAGTCTGATAATTCCAACATCCCTGCCATGCCCACTTCTAATGCTTGCTCTACTTATATTGTGTTTTTGCCTTTTAGTACACCTTGTAATTTTTTCTTGATAGCTGGACACGTACCAGTAAAAGGAACTGCTGTAAATAAGTAACGTTGTGGTGAGGCGTGAGGGGAGGGGAAGCATTCTATCGTCCTATAATTAGGTCTCAGTCTTTCACGAGTCCATCCCTCTGGACTGTGAACTTCACAAGTGTTTCACAGTTTTTTTCTCCCCCCTTAGGCAGGAGAGATGGCGAGAGTGTGCTGGAGTTAAGTACTTCCCTTCTCCCACTTGGAAGACTAGAACTGAATGTAGTTGGGAATTTCCCTTCCCCCACATTAGTTAGGCTTTGATAATACCCCAGCTGGTTAGGCTCTGGTTAACTAGTTTCTCCTGAGGGCAAGCCTTGTTAAGAAAAACAGAATGTTCTGGTGTATTTCAAAACGGTTCCTTTTCTCCTCCCCCTGCTGCAAGCAGCAGGGAATTCGCCTCCCCCCACCCCCAACTTCACCCCATATTTACTGTGAGAACGTGGTGGAGCTCCTGGGAGGGAAAAACTCACACAGTTGCAAGTCCCCCTCTATGACTGAGTGCCCCATGAGTGTTTATCTTTCAGAGTTCTCCACACTGAGCCACAGCAATTCGTTAGCTACAGTTCAGGTTTTCCTACCCCACCGCTTGCTCCAGGTGAGGTTTGCCCTTTTGAGCGTCCGCTTGGTAAGCCATTACTCCCTGTATGCATTTGTCTTTCTCTCCAGTTGTGGGGACAGCAATTTGCCTGTTAGGTCCTCACTTCTCTTAGGGATCTTTGAAGAGTTGGTGATTTTTAATCCGTTCAGCTTTTTATTATGTTGTTGTCATGACTTCCAAACTCCTTACATGTGGAATGGAATGCAATCAATTTTCAGTCGAAATTCCCAGTTAATTTCACAGCTCTGAATTTCCCCCAGGCTAAGGAGAATGGATTTGTGGTGGTGTTGTTTCTGCTACCGCAGTTGTTATTGTTGTAGTTTTGTTGTTGTTGTTGAGTCTATATCATACACACATTGTATAGAATTAAAGGAGTAAGCCTTTAGGTGCAACATTTTTAACTGCATAGAAATTCACAGAAGAATCTTCAACCACATATGGGTCTCTGGAACATCCTGCTAAATTATTATTTTTTTTAATTTAGATAAAAAAATCACAAGAATCTAATTTACACGAATGGAAATAAACATTATAGAGTTCATCAGTGTTGTAAAAAATTTTTTCCAAACTAAATTGTTTCCAACTCACCCTGATTTCCAGGTTTAAAAGTTATAAAATAAGATTGTAAAATCAAGGACCAAATAGTCAAGTGACTATTTTTAAATCAGTGCTTTTGCTAGACCAAGCTCTGTTTAGTCCGGAACTTCACAGAAGTTTCAGGGATAGCTGGACGCAATGAAATGTATCAGTGCACATGAAGGTCTAAATGTCCTGGGGTCAGTCTACAGATTCCATGCAGTCCCTAACAAAATTCCAATGGCATTTTCCATAGAAATAGAACAAACAATTCTAAAATTTGTATGGAACCACATGAGACCCAAAATTGGCACAGCATTTTTGAAAAAGAAGAACAAGCCTGGAGGCACCATGCTCCCTGATTTCAAACTACACCACAAAGCTATAGTAATCAAAAAAGTAAGGTATCAGAATAAAAACAGACACACAGATCAATGGAACAGAATAGAAAGCCCAGAAATGAACCCATGCAGGTATGGTCAATTAATTTATGACTAAGGAACTAAGAATATACAACGAGGTAAGGATAGTCTCTTCAACAAGTACTGTTGAAAAACTGGATATCCACATGCAAAAGAATGAAACTGGACCACTATCTTAAGCCATCCTCCAAAATTAACTTGAAATGGATTACAGACTTGAATGCAAGGCCTGAGACCATAAAACCCCTAGAAGAAAACATAGGTGGCAGGCTCCTTGACATCAGTCTTGGCAACGATTTTTTGGATCTGACACCAAGAGCAAAGGCAACAAAAGCAAAAACAAACACGTGAGACTATGTCAAAGTAAAACACTTCTACACAGCAAAGGAAACCACTACCAAAATGTACAAGCAACATACTAAATGGGAGAAAATATTTGCAAAACATATATCTGTTAAGAGGTTAATATCCAAAATATATAAATAACTCATTCAACTCAATAGCAAAAGAAAGAAAAATCCTATTAAAAAATGGGCAGAATATCTGAATAGACATTTTTCCAAAGAAGACATACAGATGGCCAACAGGTACATGAAAAGGTGCTCAATATCACTAATCATCAGGGAAATGCAAATAAAAACCATAATGAAATATACTCGCACACCTATTAGAATGGCTATTATCAAAAAGACAAGAGATAATGTTGGCAAGGAAAAAAGGGAACCCTTGTGAACTATTGGTGGGAATGTAAATTGGTGCAGCCACTATGGAAAAAAGTACGGAGGGTCTTCAAAAAATTACAAATAGAACTACCATATGATCCAGCAATTCCACTTCTGGGTACTTATCGTAAGAAAAGAAAAACACAAACTCGAAAAGATATATGCACCCCTATGTTCGTTGCAGCATTATTTGCAATAGCCACGATATGGAAACGACCTAAGTGTCCATGGATAGATGAATGGATAAAGAAAATATGGTGTGTGTATATATATATATATATATATATTTATGTATGTGTATATATATATTAATGAAATATTATTCATTCATAAAAAGAAATGAAATGTTGCCATTTGTGACAACATGGATGATCCTTGAGGGCATTATGATAAGTGAAATAAGGCAGACAGCTTTTACATAGAGAGAACATATTGGTGGTTGCCAGAGGTGGGGATGAGGGGTGGCCACAATGGGTGAGGGGGGTAAAAAGGTACAGACTTCCTGTTATGAATTATGTAAGTCATGAAGATGTCCTGTACAGCATGGCGACTATAGTTAATCATACTGTATTGCATATTTCAAAGTTGCTAAGAGAGTAGATCCTAAAAGTTTTCATCACAAGAAAAAAATTTTGTAACTATGTGTTGTGGTGGATGTTAACTAGACTTATTGTGGTGATAATTTTGAAATATATACAAATATCAAAATCATTATGTTGTATACCTGACACTAATATAAGGTTATACGTCAATTACACCTTAACAAAAAAAATCTTTAAAATATCACTAAAGAAAACCCTCTTACTACAGTAGTCAAAATTGTAGTACTGGCATAAAGACAGACATATAGACTGATGGTTTAGAATAGAGAGCCCAGAAATATACCCTTATATAATGTATTTAATATATTTAATATTATATAATATATTAATGTAACATAAAATTTAAAATGCCATGTAAAATGTATTTAATAATTTAATGTATACAATATATAATTTTTGACAAGGGTACAAAGACCATTCAATAGGGAAAGGACAGTCTTTTCAACAAATAGTGCTGGGAAAACTAAATGTGCACATGCAGAGGAATTAAGTTGGACTTTTACCTAATACCATATTCACAACAGATCAAAAACCTAGATGTAAGACCTAAAGCAATATAACTCTTAGAAGAAAACGTAGGACAAAAGCTTCGTGACTTTGAATTTGGCAATCATTCTTTGGTTGTCGTAAAATTCACAGGTAATAAAATAAAAAATGGACAAATTTGACTTCATGAAAATTTTAAAAATTTGTGCATCAATAGGAACTATCAACAGAGTAAAATGACAATCCATAGAGTTGGAGAAAATATTTGTAAATCATATATCTGATAAAGGATTGGTATCCAGAAATTATAAAGAACTCCTAAAATTCAGCAATAAAAGATCAACCATGCTGATTCAATAATGGTCAAAGGAATTAATAGACATTTCTCCAAAGAAAATGCAAATCAAAAGTACAATCAGATACCACCTAACACCTATTAAGATGGCTATTATTTAAAAACAAAAAGCCACTAAATAATAAGTGTTGGCAAGAATGTGGAGAAATTAGAAACTTTGTGCACTTTTGGTGCACAATGTAAAATGTAAATGAACGTACATCACCGTTAATGTGTAGCCAGAAAGTCAAAAGGGACAGCCATTGTGGAAAACAATATCACGTCATAAAAAAAAAATTGTGGAAAAGGCCCCTGCCAAATTGTAAAACAAAGGAAAAAAGATCATGACATTCCTGACCATTGCTCCTAAATGCTTACTCAGAATCGATTTGCTGTGTTTACACGTAATTCTGACGAGCTCTGTTTCTGTTCTCTTGAGTACAGATCAATTGGGCAGATGAGCACAAGGACCCTTTTTATAATTCTTGACTGGTTCTCATTTAATGCCTATAAGCTTTTTGTTTCCATACCATTATCCTTTGTTTGGTTTGTTTCACTGCACACCAAATGAAAATGCAAGTGGGTGGATTGCTACTAAATACAGTTGCAATGACATCAGCAAGAAGTGACAGTTGACAACCTGATGGGAAGAAATGAAACAGAATAACTATAAAATTATATAGCTACTAGACATCAAAAAGACTGGCAGCGTGACATCATCTAGTTTGGGGCTATTGGCCCCACAGGTCTTATTCCCCTGAGAGCAGCTGTAATTATGCGAACACATTCAGTGATATTTTCATGATAATGTCAGTGATTCCTCAAGAAAGAATTTAAATTATATTCAGTTTATTCTATTAAAGAATTATTCTTTTTAAGAATGTTCTTTTTAAGAAAGTAGAGGAATATGCAGTGCATTTTATCCAGTTTTCTATACAAGTTGACATAATCTGGCACTTGAAGGGGGAAGCTTTTGTTATAATGATAGTAATAGCCACCACTCTCGAGTGCCTGCTCTGTGCCAGGCAATGTGCTAGGTGTTGAATATAAATTGTCATTAATCCTGCTGGGCTATGAGCCTGCAACATGGCCAGGAATGTATCTGAGAGGTGGGCAAGGCAGATCCATCGTGTTGTGGCTTTGGCAATTGGTTTTACTGTGAGAATTAAAGACTTACAGATTGCCTTCTTCTTAAGAAGGCAGAGGAGTGTGTATTGATTTCATGTAATTTATCATATTAAGCTGATATAGTTGGATAGGCTTTTATTATAATAATAACAGCCACCACTCTTAGGTATCTGCTCCAGGCCAAGCAATGTGTCTGGTCTTTAATAAAATATCTTTTCTCTTGCCAGGTAGTTATTATTATCCCCATTTTACACATTGAGAAACTGTGGCTCAGAGAGATTATCATCTGCTCAAGTACAATAAGTGAGTGATACAGCCACAACTCAAATCCAGCTGCATGAAATCCCAAACCCATACTCTTCCCAATCCCAGGCAACACTACTTATAGAGGAAATACCATTATACGCACCTTATGGTTCCCGGACAGTGCTCATAAAGGACTGGCTTCTGTAAGGAGCTTCCTGGTACAGTGGGAGGGTTCCTATTTCTATCCCTCTTCTCAATGGAACACTGTTCTCAGCCAGGGAGAGGAGAGCCATTCTGGATCCTGTGAGTCGGCGCAAAGGGAGAATTTTAGTCATCTAAGAGAAACCCATCCAGAGTGATTCCTTGATGTGACCAACTGAGTCCATCCACCTCTCAGAGTGACCTGCCTGGCATGGTTTACCATGTTCAGCATTTTCCCTGGCAGCTGAAGGCATCCTAAAATAGCCTCTGGACCTTGGAAGGAACCTCTCCTGGTGCCTACAGTAAGAAGGTGCCTGTGGGGTTGGGAAAGGCAGCCCCAGGGCAGGTCAACTCCTCTCTGGAGGAAAGTCAGCGAGGCCTTCTCACTGTCCAAGCATGAGAGGCCAGGAAAACCCCACGGACACATATCCCATTCCTTTCTTCTGCCACAAATGCCTTTCTCATTCCTTGTCTACCCTAAAACCCACTGACGTCATATTCTTGGTTCTAAGCTCTTAATGGCAGTGGGAAGGCTAGAGCTGACTGTTGTTGGGTGTTTCCCTTCCTCCTGCTAACTTAGGCCATGATAATACCCTAGCAGGTTAGGCTCTGGTTAACTGGTTTCTCTTGAAGGTAGGCCTTCTTAAGAAGAACAGAACACTCTGGTCTATTTCACAATGATTCCTTTCCACTCCTCCTCTGGAGGCAAAGGGGGATTTTTCTCTGTTATTTACTGTGAGAACCAGGGGTAGCTCCTGGAGGCAAATCCCACCAGGGGATTTTTCTGCCATATGTACTGTGAGAATCTGGTCGAGCTCCTAGAGATAAAACTCACACAATTGTGGGTGGCCCCTCTGACTGGGTGCCCCTGGAGTTTTAACTCTCAAGAGCCGTCTACACTAAGCCCCCAGCAGTTCATAAGTTACAGTTCAGGTTTTCCTACCTCAGTGCTGGTTCCCACTGAGGTTTGCCCCTGTGAGTCTCTGCTCCAGTCAGCCATTACTCCCTGTATCTGCCTGTCTGTCTCCCCAATCTTGGGGGAAGGGATTGCCCGGTGTTCATCTCTCTTAATGATCGCAGAAGAGTTGTTTTTTCTTCCAATCTCCTCAGCTTTTTATTTGCTCTTGGGACAGAGTGGTGACTTCCAAGCTCCTTGGATGTAGAACCCAGTACAACCAATTTTCAGTAGAAATCCTCCAGTTAATTTGACAGCTCCGAATGTCCCCCAGGCTAAAGAGAAGGAATTGTGTTGTTGCCACTGCCACTGCAGTTGTAATTGTTGTGGTTTTGTTGTTGTTGTTGAGTCTAGATCATATACACATTGTATAGAATTAGAGGAGCAGCCTTTAGGTGTAAGTCTTTTAATTGCATAGAAACTCACATAAGAATTTTCAACCAGATATGGGTCTCCAGCACAGCATGTTAAATCATCTTTTCAAAAAACTTTAAATCAAAAAGCATAGGAATCTAATTTAAAAGAATGGAAATAAACATTGCAATTAGATTTTATTAGAATTGTTGACTTCTAATAGCAAAGAGGCAGTCAGTTATTCCTCCAGCATAAATGGGTTTATTTGTGACCAGCAGAGAATTGCAATTCAGGTCTGCAACCAAGGCTCCCCACCTGCAAGTCCCCCAGCCGCAAGGGAGGAGAAACTCTTTCATAAAGAGAAGAGGAAGTTGGCAGCGCTACTGAAAACAAAGAGTCCCCTGGAGGAACTGAGCCTTCTATGTGTAGTGGCTTTTCATTGGCTGACTTATGACATTCTCTCATTGGCTGAGCTTCCTGCCTGTCAAGAAGAAGAAGTCTACCTTCTTCCTGTTGGGCTGGGCTATAGAGGTAGGGCGTGAGAGCGCCACCTTCTGGCCTCCCAACTTTAATTTAATAAGGTTTCTATTAGGTTCACAGTGTTGTAAAACTTTTTTTTTGGCAAACTAGATTGTTTCCAACTGACCTTGATTTTCCGGTTTAAAAGCTATGAAATAAGATCATTAAATCAAGGGCCAAATAGTCAGGTGACTATTTTAAAATCAGTATTTTCCTTGGCAGCTTTCGTTAGATCAAGCTGTCTAGGGCTGAAGTTCAGAGAAGTTTCAGGGAAAGCTGGATGCAATCTATGCAGTCTGCGCCAGCGAGGGTCTGGACGTCCATGAGTCCACTTGTAAATCAGGGGTGGGCTCAGAAGAGAGTGGTTTTATATTTTACACTAGGAGACCCTAGATTTTAGGAAGAATCCTTGGGATAACCCGTATTCCTCTGTCTCAATCCTGGAAACGTCTATCAGGAAACCTACTGTGTGTGCCGAATGAAATGGGAGGAGTCTGACTGAAATGTTTGTGCTCACAATTTCAGAATCCAGGCACGACGCTGCTCTACCTAACAAGGTCCGGATTTTCTGCAGGCTGGGATTAGAGCCCTGTAACAGCGGTGAGACTGGATGGTGAACTTGCTGGAATGAATTGGTTCTATTCATTCAACAAACATTGGCTGAGTGCCTGCCAGGGTGCCAGACATGGTGCCAAGTGCCAAAGTAAAGGACTGTTTTTTTAAACCTCGGCCCCCAGCTCAGCACCAGGCACTTCTTGCAAGTTCAAGGCGGGCCTGAGGGGTGAGTTAGTACCAGTCCCTCCCTAACTGAAGACACTGACCTTGAAAGGAAAGTCTGAAACTGCTGGCGGCTACCCTAGCACCTTCTAGAAGGGTGCAGAACCTGATTCCTTCCCCCACACCGCCAGCCCAGTTGGTAGCTACCAAAGATTTCCGAGTGAGGAGTGAATGTTGGCAAGAAGGCTGAAGGCACACGTGGCCTCCAGGGCTAGAGTTCTGAGCCCTCACACGGACATGGCCACGAAATCGGCTTCTAGAGTAGTCGTTTCTTAACCATTTTGCAGTCACCATTCCACTGGTGAATGCTATGCTTCTCTCCTTAGGAAAATGCAATCTCACGAACACATGCTTACTAGTGATTTGAGAAGGTTCATGTGTTAGAAATCTCAGGTATCGGAAGTGGAAGTCATTTCCGCGAAAGCATTTGGCACCTGAGAGCAAAGACTCCCCTACAGCAGCCTCGAGCGGCAGAGCCCAACCTCCTGCCGCACAGTGTCCCCTATGCTGCCTTTGCCAATTCGGCCTTGCAGCTCCGCACGGAAAGCCTAGGTCAGGGCTCAGGACCCAAACTGCTGAGCCCCGAAGCCCGGACTGGCTCTCAGCGGCGGCTGCCTGATTCTAGGCTCCAGGACGCACCGAGCCCAGGATCCGCCATCCTGAGCCCTGTCCCTTGCTCCGCTCGCTTTCCCGGCTCCGTGCCTGACGCGCACCTGCGTCCTACCCACCAGCCCTTCCACTCCCGGGTTCCCCGGCCGCCCTGCCTGTCTGCCCTGCGGAGAGCGAGTTTCAGACACCCAGTTCCCCTGCCCCGAGCTCTTATTCCCTTGAGACAGTGCCGTCCCGGGAGTTAAGAAGGAGGAAAGTGGAATAAGGGCACCTTGGAAGTTAGGTGTCCCCGAGCATAGAGGCCACCAAGTGGAATGGGAAGAGATGTGCCGCGAGGCAGGTGTGTCCTAGGAAATGCTGTGTCTCCTGGGGACTGAGGACTGGAGTGCGGACCGGTGGCTCAGCTCACTTACGGCATCCCCGGGGCTAGTTTCTGCTTTGTTTGAGACAACCACCCAGCTGGCGTTCTTGCCTACCCTCCCCACCCCCATTCCCGATGCCGTAGCTGTGCTTGCGGCGCTGGGAGGATCTGTACAGCCTGCCGCGGATTGCGGGTGCGCGCTCAGACCCGGAGCTGCGTGGACAGTGGGAAGCTCCTCTCCCCGCACTCCACCCGCTGAGGGCGGCAAGTAGGACCTCAGACCTTCCAGGCAGGCTTGTAGCAGAAAGCTCTGGCAGAGGGGTCCTGAAACCCTGTTGAGCAGGGGGTTAGAGGGTCGAGGTTGTGCATAATTTGATATTGTGGAGCACGCTTATTCTCGAGAGCGAGTGCAGGTACGGTGCGAGCGGGTCATCATCATGCCAGTGTGTGCATGCCATCCCACAAGAGACTCGCAGGCACACTTGGGACGCAATTGAAAGTGAACCCAAGTGGATGTCCGCGCCAGTGTCGTTTTGAGAATGTCTGTGCTTTGGGGCGTGGGCGCATGTTTAACACAGTAATGAGTCTGTGTGTGTGGAAGTGAGTGTGAGCGTTAGTCTCCACAGGGACTCTTCAGCAGCGTCAAGCCCACCCTGTTCTCTAGTGAAGGACTCAAGTGCGGGGGATGCAGTGCAGGGCTGAAACTGCAGGCCTAAGTTGGCAAAGAGCAGCCGGAAGCTGGGGCTACTGGGCAAATGGTTCAGACGGGCGGAGGAGCGAGAGGTGACGGATGGCGAGGTGGAAAAGCAGATGCTAGAGCAGGCTTGGAGTCTCGGGAAGCATCTGTTCCTTGCACCTCCCCACTGAGACCCAGCCAGGCATAACACCCTCCCTAGCCACATGTAGGACCACCCAGCAGGAGTCCAGTCAGCCACACAAGGTGGGCGTTCGGAAGGTATGGAAGGAGATCTTACAGAGTCCCCTATGTGGGCCAGGAAGCTCTTCCAGATCCCTGTCGAGCTGGGAGCCAGCCAGATGGCTGCTAATCACAGCATTCCTTCAAGTCGGGGCCCCATTTCAAAGATGAGTACTTGAAGCACTGACAAGTTACTTGCCATGATCCTGCTGCCTAGAATTGGTGCAGCTGGAACTGAGTTCAGGTCTGACAAAGTTCTCACTCTCGCCTCCATCTCTTGCTTCCCAGGAGCCCTGCTCCTCTGTGGGTGATTCCCCCTCCCTGAATCAGACATCCTGCCTGGGCCCAGAATGAACCCCACTGCACCTTAACCCTCCAACTCTCCATGGACAGGGGTCCAGCGGGAGTTTGGGGAAGCCAAGAGTCCCTACAGTCCTAGACTCTGACAAAAAAAGACCTCAAAGCTGGGGATGGACTGGGGCTTGTGTTGAAAATCAACGGAACTGAACAGGTGAAATTTACCATGAGGACAAACTGTCCTCAAATTCCTGCTCACTTTAAGAGTTTCTCCTTGGTCACCACCCCTCCCCCTTCCATCAATGACCTCAA